TTCTGTCATGATATGATGATATTACAGAATGAAGATATGAGGGCATGGGGATATGGTGAAATAATGCTATATAGTATGTGGACTATTGAGAAGGAGATATCAAAATTATGCAAAATTGGGGAACTTTCTGTCTCTATATCTAAATAAATCTCTAGTTTCTATAACACTACAATACTGTCTTGGTTCTTAGGAACTTGGTCCTCCGATCCTGACACCACAACCATCACAACTAACAAACCAATATGGTCCTATTGTACCATCACACACTGATTTTTCCTAATTTGCTAAATACACAGCTGGGTCCATTAACATTGAACAATTATAGCACTATGGTTCCACTTCAACTGCTATGGCTGTTTCCTATAGAATCCTGGGATTTGCAGTCTAGTGTCTCACTAGATTATATTCCTCAGGATTCCATAGACCATTACCATGACAATTAATGGAATCAAAGAGACATAACTTTTTGAATCCATTAATTTCCTAATACCACAGAACACCATAGCCTCCTATATTTATTTGATGAAAACTGGCCCACATGTGGCCAAACAACATCAGAGTGTGGCCAAAATGACAAAAGGTATTAATGAGAAAGAACACACAAGTTAGGAGAAGCTGTAGCAGTTTGCTTTTGCCTCTACCTCTGCCTAGTGGGAAGGCCAAATTTCATTACTCATCTGTCCTCCTCCCATTTGCACTTGAATTTTTCAACAACTGAAGACAAAGAGTGAAAGAGGAAGAAGAAGAAGGAAACTGGGACATTTGAAAAGCAGTTGAAAAGGGGAGTGACAGAGAATCAATTAGGACTGTTCCTGCCAAATTGGTACAGTTGGAGTTAGGGAACATTTTTGAGAAGACAAGGCCTAGAGTTTGGGCTAGCAGGATTGGAATCTTAATTCAATAGATTAGATTAGTTTTTCATCTTGAATATCTTAATGGGTTCAGTAACTAGGGAGCTGCACTAACTTAAAAGGAGTTATGAACCTAGTTCTTCCTCACTGACTATTAATTGAAAACAAGACTTTTAAATCTTGAATGTATAATTAACAGCTTTTTATTTCCTTCAGACTGTATGCTTCTGAGAGCAAGGGCTTCACTTTGTATAGATCTATAAAAAAAGAGCTATGGGGCTTAATGAAGCATCTGTTCTGTGTCAATAATAAAGGTAGAGTCATATGACTACATTTACATCGAAAGCTATTAAGATTTTTTTAATGACAGTTATTAATAATGCCATTAATAAGAAATTTGCCCTAGAGTATTATATGAATGATCAGCAATGTATTCTGAAGTATGCTCCTCAGAAGGAGCATTCAGGGAAAGAGGAGCTTTGAACTATACAAAGGTTAGCTGTCAAAAATGATACTGGTAATTTCAAAGGGGTATAATTGTTTCACTAAGCCCCCCCCATTCCCTGCAGAACAAATTAGCCTGTGTGTTGTTACTGCCTACATTTCAATAAGCTTTTTATTACTTAATTTATGTTGTTGTTGTTGTGTTGTGTGGCTTTAAGTTATTTCTGACTTATGGTGACCCTAAGGCAAACCTATCATGAGGTTTGCTTGGCAAGATTTGTGAAGAATGGGTTTGTCTTTGCCCTCCTCTGAGGCTAAGAGAATATGACTTGCCCAAGGTAGCCTCTAGTAACTTTTATGTAACCTTTCTATTTTATATGGTTTTAAATTATAGGATATCTCACCAGATCTAATGACTGTAAATAAAAATTGATTGATTGATGGCTGAGCACGGATTTGAATGCTGGTCTCTAGAATTGTAGTGTAATGATCAACCACTACACCACATTGGCTCTACTTTATTTATTAGTTACATTTATATTACACTTTTTCTCCACTGAGTTCAAGGCAGTAGACATGGCTCTCCTCTCCCCCATTTTAACCTCACAATACCCTAATGAGTTAGGGCAGCCTAAGAAAGAATAACTGGTCTCAAGTCACACAAGGGAGTTTTCTGACTCAGTGGAGGCTAAAGCCTGGATCTCACCAATCCTAATTCAACACTCAGCTGTAAAAAGAATTTGAACCTGGGGAACTGCTAAAAGTTCAAGTCTCCAATGGGATCTTTTATCTTATGTTTATGGAGGTGGCTAGGGAATAGAC